GTAATTATCTCCCTGAGAGTACATTGTTCTGTGATAAACAAATGTATATTTTTCAAAAACTCCTATTTACAGTATTACATACATTTCATAACTAAGGTCTTTTATTTTCCTTTAAACAACATGTATTGGAATCTGCAGACTAAGATTAGTAACTCAGTATTAACATTTTAGTAACTAATGTAAATATAATATTAATACTGTCACTACCTTGCATGGTTCTCCCTTTACTTTTTTAAAGCTAACTTAAGTTAATTACTCACTAAAAAAGGTAAGCAAAGTAATAGTTTTATCTGGAAAACCTCTACATTTAAATTAAAAGTATAGTACCTGAGGTAATTCTGATTGGCATATTATAAGTTTGTAGCATATTTGTTATAGTCAGAGCTATGTCTGAGGCACCTAACATGTAAAAATGGCAACCAAAAGTGACAAACACTGAGCTGGAATTTGAAAAAAGACTCCCTAATGTACAGTAAATGGAGAGGAAATTCTGCAAGTAGGGAGAGTGATTTCAGAAATTCCTGTTTACTGTCATACTAAGTGGATTGACTATCACATCTAACCCAGCAAACAGTACAATGCAAAAGAAATTAAATGATACAGATCTTAGCCTCTATATGACAGCTACCTACAACCAGTCACAAAATTCAGTTAAGCTCCCAGTATATTAATGAAATAGTTAATTATTTACTTCTTTGCCTGACCTCAGTCTTTGTCACTTCTGTGGTGGTGGACTATAGGAAGTTTAGTGTCCCCCCACCACAACTCCTAGACTAAGCCCTCACCTATCCATTCATTTCTGCATTCAGCTTTAGCACTCAGCCATTTCCCAGGGTCTGAAACAATGAATTATTGTTTCTTTTAGAAATGGATTTCATTGAGGTAAATCTTCAAACTAAAAAGAACATCTGGCATAACAAAAACTAAGAAACATTTAAAAAAATATGTTGACATGTTAATTTTTTTCTCTTTTAGACCTAACACAAGCTCCTAAACATTGCGTTCAAATTTCACATTGATAAGGAGAAACAAAAACATTGGCATTCAGTCCTGAAACTGAGACAGGTATTTTTTTTAAAAGAAAATGAAAACCTTCCTGTAATCAGGCTTTCTTCTGAGAAGAATCCAGTTTCAACTGCTCAACAGGGATTTTGATGGGTGTTATAGAAACGTCTAAATGTCAATGAATAATCACTCTGTATTGGTGGAATGCCTCTGTTACAAGTCCCGGGCAGAGGTGTAAGTAACACATAGTGTTACTGTTTAATTTCGGAAAATCAAGAGACAGGATAAAGTTAGCTGCACTTTCTGGTCTTCCTGAAATGAACTGTTTTGTAATATTTTTTTACAGTCTTTGAAAATTAAATACTACATTGAACAACATTTCTAAACACTTCATAATTAAAATAAAAATATATATCTGTGAACACAGATCACTATTATCTAATTTATCTAATTTATCTAATTATCTAAATCCCCATGATTTACTTTTGTAGTAAAGAAAAAGAAACGCCACATTGCCTTAATCCACCCTTAATTCACCTCAATGGTAAAACAACTATTGAGTGTAAGACTGACTATGCAGTTCTAATAGAAATATATTACGTTTTTTTTTTCTTTTTAACCATGGGTGCTTGCCCCTTAAACAACAGATTCGTTAAAATTAATTTATTTTGTGTGCTTCAGACATCAATACATCAAAATCTTGGTGAATCCCAATTTTAGAAATAAGTATACATAGTATTTACTGAAGATAACAATTACCATATCAAGACATTGATTCTAGAACATTATCATATTTATCATATTACTGTATTGAAATCTTTATGAATAATGCCTGTGTATTAAATAAATTAGGATTTGTTTCATTGTTTGTATAATCTTTAAAAAGTAATATTATGATTCTAAATGTCTTGAATATAACCAAACAAGTGAATATTCAGGGTCACTTATATGTAATGGTGTCATTTTTTAATGCTCATGTATTCTAAAATGTACTTATATTATTTATTTAAACATAAATCAGAATTGCATTAGTATCAGCACTACTTAGAAAAAAATCAAGAGTGAGAGATTTGCAAAACCCAGACTATCCTGACTGCTCATAGATGTTTCAATCACTGCAAGTCCTAGTTCTCCTTGTGAAGAATTCATTTGAAATCAACAGTTTCTTTGTATCACTGTATGTCTCACTCACCACAATCAATTACTGCCTAGTTAGTAATGTTTAACAGAAATTAAATGTTTTTGGCCAGCAGCCATATCACCCTACAGCTCACAACTGGCAACCCTCTGAAGCTAAGCAGGTGTGAGCCTGGTCAGTACCTGGATGGGAGATCTCCAGGGAAAGGTTGCTGCTGGAAAAGGTGTTAGTGGAGCCAGCAGGGGGCACTCACCCTGTGGTCTGTGTGGGTCCTTATGCCCCAGAATAGTGACGGGGACACTGTACTGTAAAAAGGCGCCTTCCTTTGGATGAGACGTAAAACTGAGATCCTGACCCTCTATGGTCATTAAAACTCCCCAGGCATTTCTTGAAAAGTGTAGGGGTGTCACCCCTGGTCAAATTGGCCCTTATTAATCATGGCCTCCTAATATTCCCCATCTATGAATTGGCTTAATTACTCTGATCTCCTCCCCACTGAAAGCTGATATGTGGTGAGCGTTCTGGCGCACTATGGCTGTCATTGCATCATCCAGGTGGGGCTGCACATTGGTCGTGGTGGAAGTGAGTCCCCATTACCTGTAAAGCGCTGTCAAGTGGAGTGTCCAGAAAAGCGCTATATAAGTGTAAGCAATTACTAATAATAATCATTATCATGTTTGTTTTCTCATCTTATTCTCTAACCATTGGTTAGTATCCGTTGGTTGGTGAGTGTTACAGTGGTAACAGGCAGAAATAGGCAGACCAGGTTTCTCTGCCCGAAATACCTTAACTAGCTCCTCTTGATCCATAAGTGCAGTGACTCTACTCCAAGGTTTTCCTGGATAGCAGAGCTTCTTAACCTGTCATAGAGCGTAAGCCCAGCACCACTATAGAAAAAACCTTCATTTCTGCCACTAACATCTGCAATCTACTCTTTACGTCATTATTAAAATCTCAGGACCATAGGTAAGAATAGGGACATAGACTGATGGACACACTGAGAGCTTCATAATAAAACTCAGCTCCCCTTCAACACTGTGGTTCGGTAGAAGGCCCACATTATTGCAGCTGCTGAACCAGTGCACTGGTCAATCTCATGATGTTCTCTATCCTCACTCGTGAAATCTCCCCTGAGGTACCTAAATTCCTTGACTTTAGGCAGCTGTTCCTCTCTCATCTGGATAGAGCAATCCACTCTTTTCCTGGAGAGAACTAAGACCTCAGACTCGTTGACCCCCTTCCCAACCATATCACACTCTGCTGTGAAATTTCTACAGTGTATGCTGGACATCACAGTCAGAAGAGATAAAGAGGACAGCATCATTTGCAAACAGCAGAGATAAAATCCTTATGTCACCAAACTGGATACACTCCAAGTCTTGTCTGTGCACCTCACAGACAGGAGATAAGACAAGTTCCCTTGGTCTGACACCCACCTTAAACAGGCTTCCATGCAACATCGAGCGCATTGACCACAACCAGCTAACATTGTCCTGTGCCTTAAGCATTACCAGCTCATTGACCCATCCATCTGACCCAACACACCACCAAATGGTGACCAGTTGACAACTCAGCCCCTCTTCTTATCCAAGTTTCCAGGCCTTTGGTCTGATGATACAACCACAAAGTCAATCATCGACCTTCGACCCAAGGTTCACTGGTACCAAGTACACGTATGAGCAACAATGTGTTTGAACATTGTGTTCTAAATGGACAATCCATTACTAACACAGAAGTCCAATAACAACTAAATGCTTGGGTTTAGATCAGGGAGACTGTTCCTCTCAATCACACCCCTCCAGATCTGTCTGCCATTCACCATGTAAGCATTGATATCTCCCATGAGGACTACAGAGTCAATAGGTGACACCCTATCTAACACTTTACACTGTACACTATACACTGTACACTTTCTCTAAGAAGACTGAATACTCTGAACATTTGTTTGGTGCATAAGTACAAATAACAGTAAGAGTTCTGCTTGCTGCAATTTATAGTTGCATTTAGGTAACCCTCTCATGCACTGGGACAAACTTCAACTGTATAGACCCAGCCTGGGATTCATTGGTATCCCCACACTTGTCCGGGGCCTCTCATATGAGGGACATCCAGAGGAGGAGAGAGACCTCCCACAATCGCAAAGGTGTGTGTAGAAATAAAACCAACTATACCTTTTAGTACCTTTCAGCCTTCTGCAACGGCTCTGGCTCTTTCCTGAGCAGTGAAATCTTTCCATGTTCCAAGAACCAGATTCCATTGCCAAGGTCTAGTCTGACCTGACCTTTCCCACCCATGCTCGCATGTTTCCCCCATCTTTCACTTTGTGGGTGGTGAGCCCACATAACAATTCCATTGCCATTTTGGGATAAGCCCAGCTGAGTTTGTGTGGCCACAGGGGTGTGCCCCAGTTTCCCTTACCAGGCAGGTTTCTCTTATTTTTTAAAGGAATCATGGGAATCTACTGGAGCTTGGATTGTTGTTTATCTTGCCCCTCAATTTAGACTAATTTGCCCAGGGTGACCCTACCGGGAGTGCAAAGTTCCTGACAGCTTTAAGGCTACCTGGGGCATTTAAGCCCCTTTCCCACAACAAGGACACAATCCCATGAGGAGTACTTTTTTTGTATTTTAAATATTAATCAGCAGGAAGGAAATGGGTTCCTTTAAAATTACTAACATTGCAGTTCTATTATAATCTATTATAAAGGCAATGCCGTTGTGATAATGCATGTACAGTCTGTATATGTACGGTATATATTAATTATTAAGACATAAAAGATTAGCAAAATGAACTATAACTCTACTCTTAATAAGAATGAAATATGAGTTACCATTAATTTTTAAATTGTGTATTTCAGATTGTGGGCTGAATGTGCACAAACAGTGTTCCAAATATGTTCCAAATGACTGTCAGCCAGACCTGAAGAGAATAAAGAAAGTGTACAGCTGTGATCTGACTACACTGGTGAAGGCACACAACACACAGAGACCTATGGTGGTGGACATGTGCATTCAAGAAATAGAAAAAAGAGGTTAGAATCATTTCTATACAATCCCAACATGCAACATGCAGTTGTAACATGTGGAAAAAATTCTGCAGTGTAGAATAAATTTAGAGTTTCCTGTAACTTGTTCCTAAAAGATGAAAAGGAACAGGTAAAGCTGATGATTGACTTCAAAGTCATTCTATTTCTTTAACACTTTCCTCAAACAGGATTCCTGACTACTCCATTCCCCATCTTTACTCTTTAGTAATACTGGTTGCATTTTCATAAATGTTCACATGTAGAGTCAAAACACTAGCTGACTTGCAGGTTATGTTAATGTTAAAATGTTAAAAAACATTATGATCATCTGACAATACTAAAGGTGGCTTTCACAGTTACCGTATGTTACAAGGTAAATGTAACTTAGGTTGTGCATTTCTGGAAAGAAATACACAGGAGCACATATTAAGTTTGTGAAGTTATTATCAATATAAACTTGAATATGTAGTAATAAGTTTATTCCATACCGTAAAAAAAGAAAGAAAACACATACTTTCGGCCTTGGAGCCTGAAGAAGGCTGTATGTATAGAAATATGTATTATATTAGGACTTGCCATAGCTTAAACAAATTTCATGTTTTTGTTGTGTCTGAGAAAAGAAAGAAAACATTACCACAAGGCTGCATTCATGCAAAGATTAGAATAAAAATAAATGCTTTTTTCTTAAATGAAAATGGCAGTCTGTAAGTAAGGGATAAATATTCTTTTAAAGTAACTGACCATTTGAAAGAAGGAGACACTCATGCAGGACTTTTGCATATCAAAATAGAATCTAGTCCTAATTTTGAAGTCATACACAAAACAGAGCCATAAAGAGTAAAAATTAAAATCTAAGAATTTCTTAGTCTATCATTCTTTTGTTTACAGGTTTGAAATCTGAGGGGCTTTACAGAGTTTCTGGGTTCACTGAACACATTGAAGATGTTAAAATAGCCTTCGATAGAGGTGGGTGATTCATATTCTAACCACAAACATTGGCCTACAAGTATAACCTAGGGACTGCATTTTTAAACATATCTTGTTAGACACCTGTGTTTTCAGGTGCAAATAATGCTAAAGAAGACAATTCTGGTAATATGATGATGAATCCTCTTCAACTTCTCGAAAGAGCAAAATCACCACACATTTTATCCAATAATTAATGTATTCCTCTGTGTAGAGTAGCCTGTTTTTTTGTTTCATAACAACCATGTCCACTGCATAAACTAAGTAAAACTATTCTCTTAACAACTGTTTAGATAAAATGAAAGGCTGCAGTAATTGAAATTAATTGAGCTTGTGTGCATATCAGCACTATAGAGTAAGACATTTTATGTAAATCTGACCATGTGAATCATTCTGAGAAACTTGTAAAGATATGAATTATCATGACAGTGCTTTGATTCAAGTCCTAAGGAAGTACAGGTGAGAAAACAGGTAAACAGATTTATGCTTTAGGATTCTTTATACTTTTCCCTATTTATTTCTTTGGCTAGTGAGGGAGATTAGGGTGGAGCGGTGGCTCTGTGGTTAAGGATCTGCGCCTGTGACCGGAAGGTTGCTGGTTCAAATCCCCCAGCCAGCAGAGGAATCCTACTCCATTGGGCCCCTGAGCAAGGCCCTTAACCCTAACTGCTCCAGGGGTGCCGTACAATGGCAGACCCTGCACTCTGACCTCAAGCTTCTCTCCCTGTCTCTGTACCTGTGTCTCCATAGAGAAAAGCTGGGGTATGTGAAAAGATGCATTCCTAATGCAAGAAATTGTGTAGGGCTAATAAAGAAACATTATCATTATCATTGTAGTTAATAAAAATACTTAAATAACATGATATTTTCATAGTGATGTTTTCCAATTTGTGTGTTACCAGCATTATCAGGTAACATACTAGGTATTTGATATTTGATAAATATTTATCCACACTTTACAGTATATAAACACAGCCACAAGGAATACGGCAATGTCTACAATCTAATAATTTTTTAAAATATCAGAGTACCTATTTTATACACATAAAAATGTATTTGTCAAAGCGGTTTTGCCTGACATTTTAAGGGAGAAGTAGATGTATCAGCTTACTGCATAGGTTAAACATTGGGTAACTGAGAGAATTGTAGCCCCTGGGAGGTGAATACGAATGTATCCTGTGTTGTGAAATGTATGTCTTTTGTGTGTGATTTGTCAGATTTCACTGCTTGAGTGATAAAGTGGATTGAATGCCTCTGTGCATTTGATTCAGATTTCCAAGACTGTGCCCTTGGTGTTTATGGACCTGAATGTTTATTCCTTAAAAGTGAAGTCTTTATTTACAAAATAAGACATGCAGTGTTTTAAAAAATAATAAAAATAAAAATAAATTGGACAGCAGGGTGGCACAGTGGTTATAATTGCTATCTCAGGTTTAATCCCAGACCTGGGATTCTATCTGCATGTTCACGTGGGTTTCTTCTGGGTGATACATACTGGTAGATAAACTGGCTTCTGGAAAGATTGGCCCTAGGTGTCAGTGTGTGCGTGTCCGTGTTTATGTATATGTGTGTACCCTATGATGGAGTGGTATCCTGTTCTGGGTGTACCCTATCTTGCACCCGTTACCTGTCGGGATAGGCTCTGGCACCCCCCGCATTCCTGAATTGGAAAAAGCAATGTACTGTATGGATGAGAATTAATTTTTAAAATTCAACTGTTCAATTGAATATAGTAAGAGTCATTAACTATATAACAAGTGAATATTGGAAACATTCCTTAAATTTTAAAACTTTTATAAAATGATCGTATGTAGTAGAGTATACAGTTTGTTTCCTTTCATATGCATGCTGTTGATAAGTTATTGTACTTTTTAGCAATCACCCTTCTTCCCAGTCCAGAAAGATTGGAAACTGACTTTGTTAAGTGACAGTATGCGGGAGTGATGTAGTCACTAGAACATTGAATTCTACCCAGTCTTTGAAATGACATTTGCTGTGAGACAGTATTAATTTTCTTTACATACTGTATTTGTTGCTTCTGTTAGTCACTATTTCATACATTCAATTCAGAAACATAAAAATAAGATGTTTGTATAAGTAATTTAAGGTCAGAATTCCCACTGCCAAGTACAGAGTAGAAGGCAGAAAACAAACAAAACAAATAGCATTAACCAATTTCTGCTTTACTGTAGTTCTGAATATCACTAAAAGGATGCCCACTGGATGTACTCCCATATTTCCATTTTAAGCCTTTTATGATGTCTATTGTTAATTTAAAGCTGTGAATGTTCCCATGATAGTAACGTTGGATCTTCTTGGTACTACAGGGGTCACACTGCTTTTCATTAGATCAGGTTATTAATTGTATGCAAGGGATTCAGTAATGTAGACAATCACATTGTACAAACAAATGCAGCATTAATTTTATATTCTATTGTCTTTCAGATGGTGATAAGGCTGACATCTGTGCTAACACGTACTCAGACATCAACATAATTACAGGAGCACTTAAGCTGTATTTCCGAGACCTACCAATACCAGTGATTACTTATGATGTTTATTCCAAATTTATTGAGGCAGCAAGTAAGTACAACAGATGAAACAGTGCATTTCACAGTGTGTTCTCATTACTGAAAACATGATCAGCTGAAAGCTTCCAAATACAGTTACTGTATAAAGTCACTATGTTTGTCTTGAAAAAGTTCCTTGAATGTTAATTATTAATTTTAATCTGAGTCAATGTTGCCTCTTCTGTAGTATTCCATCATTCCATAACTGTAATATGGTCTGGTTCAATAAGTTTTTTATTAACTTATTGAATTAATTATTATCTATGTTGGATCAGTTTAAGACTTTGGCTAGGTTTAAGCTGCTGATAATTTAAAAAGACTAGATGCAGTAGACTGCTGACCTGTAGCCCTTGAGGATTTGTATGAAGCAAGTTATAGCTTGTCGCTTAAACAACTGTGGCACGAATGCAACAGCACATCTGAAGAAGCCACCTTAGCTGTTCTGTTAAGCGCTAGAATAACTAACTTATTTCATGTTTTTAGAAATAATTCATTCAGAAGCAAGATTAGAAGCTATTCATGATGCCCTTCTGATGCTGCCCCCTGCACATTATGAGACACTTCGTTATTTAATGACTCATCTGAAAAGGTAAGGCAGTTATACAATAAACATATTTTTATCCACATTTTTCAAAGTGTGTTTTTTGACATTATGTTAAATATGTAATATGTGCTCCACATATTACTATTATTATGTGGTAACTGATCCACATATTTATAGACATTAAAAAATCTTCACTGGAGCTGCATAACGGAATTAAGGGGTTAGCTGAATGATTTTCGGCTGTTATTTTAATTGAATCTCTTGTAGATTAAGAGAGGTTGGTTAGAATAATTATTTACATACCACTTCTGACATGAATAATATACAGAAACATTTATATAATATATAACACTGTATAATATATATATACAGTATATTACTATACATAATACATATGAGATGCTGTTCTGATAAAAAGAAAGTGGAGACATTCGCATGTGCAAAGCCTGAGTTTTGGTTGGTGAGAGTGCTTCCAAGGAGAGACTGGTTGAGAGCCGGAATACAGACATGTCAAAATGTCAGACGTTATTATTGTTGTTCTACTAATATAGTAGAAGCTGCAGGAGGAAATCTGGGACCTCAGGGGTTCTTGTACCCAGAGAAGAAACGTAGGGTTCTAGTCAAGTCTGTCAAGTACTGAGATGTACTGGCACCTTGAAAAGAAAGGGAATATTTTGAGCACCATCACTACAACACCCATTAACTTTAGTTACTTTGCACTGAAAAATATACCTTGCTCAAACAAGGCAACCAAAGCTTTTCCCACTTTTGTTATAAAATATATATTGTAGTATTGACGGACTTTTAAAAAATAGTTAAAATATAATAAAATAGTAAAATAAAAATAGTATAAAAAATAATTTAAAAAATATTGAGTGCGTGCTTCCAATAAACCGTATAATATACAATAGACAGTCTAATGGCTCATTTCTACAGAACAGGAAGGCAGCTTCTTTTCATGAAACAGGATTCAGTAAAACCTTAAGATAACACCAAGCGATATCTAGGTCAGCCTTGGACATTTCATAACGCATCATACTTTTTAAAATTTAAAATGCTTTTTGAACATATTCTGCATCCTGCAGCTTCAATACACTATATACTGTACTACATATTGAGTATACAATTTTATAGATTTTTAAATAAACATTGTATTTGTCTATTTGGAATTTTTACAGACTGATTTTCTTTACTTTCTTTGCAGGGTAACATTATATGAAAAGGATAATTTCATGAATGCCGAAAACCTTGGAATAGTGTTTGGACCAACGTTAATTCGGCCTCCAGATCAGAACACTCTTACCACCTTGAATGACATGAGATACCAGAAGTTAATTGTTCAGCTTTTAATTGAAAATGAAGATGTGCTATTTTAAAAAAAAGGAAATGTGCCACATCCACTAGATTCTCTGCTGAAATGGAGTAAATGATGTGCTGCAAATCATTCTGAATGTTTGTTCTGCAGTTGTGCAGATGAATACCAGTATTGCTTCTCTGTCTTATAGACATACCTCTGTGAAGTTGAGGTTGAGAAGTGGCCTTCTGTATTTTATATTTTAATGGCACAGAATAAGTAGCCTGGATTTTGCTGTTCTTATGTTTTGCATGTTATCCATATGTATGTGCAGTAGGACAAGGAAATAGATAAATTGCACTAAATCAAATTATTTGTGAGAGATTTATAATCTTTGTTAAATATGGTTTGTGTACTTGGCAGTAAATATTTTAATTTAATTTAAAAAAATATATTTTATAGTTTTTACAGGATGTAATTACATTTCAGAACATGTAAGAGGCTATACAGTGTGGTGAAAAAATAAGTACATCCCCTTAGGACTTTATGGATAATAGATAAAACTAACCTCATTTTACATACAATATAATGCAACAAAATTGTACTTTTAAAAATTATTATTTTAAAAATCAGACAGCTACCACAGCTTTGTGTGAAAAAGTAAGTACACCCCTTGATTCAGTTACCTGTGGCACCACTTTTAGCAGCAATGACTTGAATTAAATGTTAAGAGTTGATCACTCACTCACATTGAATTCTAGCCCACTTCCTTACATAACTGCTTCAATCTCTTTATATGCACAACTTTCTTTAGGTTCTACCACAACATATTTATAGGATTTAGATCTGAACTTTGACTTGGCTATTCCATAACTTGAATTTCCTCTTATTGAAATATTTTAATGTAAATTTACTTTTGCATGTTGGATCATTGTTCTATTGCGTGATCCACTTTCTGTTCAAGTTTAGTTGTTGGGCACATGGTCTAACATTTTTCACTAGAATACTCTGGTAAAGTGTGGAATTCAAACTACACCCATAAGGCATCCAGATCCTGAGACAGGAAAGCAGGCCCAATCCAACAGGTGTTACATGCTTGGTTGTTATGAGGTTCTTCTGGTCAAAAGCAGTGTTTAGTTTTTGCCAAACATGATGTTTGATTTATGGCCAAACAACTCCACTTTTGAATCAGTCCAGTGCAAAATGTTGCAGAAATCTTGTTTTTCATTTATGTGCTGTTTTGCCAGCTTTAGCCATGCCGCAATGTTCTTCTTGGAGAGCTTGGAGAGCAGAGGTTTCTCCCTGGCTATCCTTCCATGAAAGCCATTCTTATTCAATGTTTTCCTGATGGTGGATTCTGACACTATTGCAAGAGAGACATGTAGATACCTGAATGTAACCTTGGGGTTCTTTGAGATTTCTTGGTGCATTATATGATCAGATCTTGGAGAGAATTTGGTAGGATTGTCACTCCTGAGTAAATTGGCAATGGTGTTGAATTTTGACCATTTGTAGAATATTGTTCTTATCATGGAATGATGAACTTTGTATTGTTGGAAATGGCTGTATAACCCTTCCCAGATTGATAAGCAACAACTAAATATGAAGTCTATAAGACTGTCACAGATTTCTTTTGATCTGGGCATGATGTGTTACCACAAACCTGAGAGCTTAAAATCAAACTAACAAAGTTTCTGATTTTATATACATGTAGAAATCGCTTCCTAAAGATGAACTAATCATTTGCACCATGTTTTGTTAGACCTCATTCTACATTCCCTATTAATTGAGATTGTAGAACTAATGCATGACTTTTTCACACAAAGATATTGAATACTTTCTGATTTTTTTTAAATATTGAAAAACTATAAAATATTTTATTAAAGGGGGTGTAATTACTTTTTAACCACAGTGTAAATTAGTTGTGGATTATTTAAATTAATTGTAAATTAGTTCTAAGTACAACAGTAAGTCCATAGGATGTTTTTAGTTTATTCTTTCTTTTCAAAAGTTACCTTCTTTATTATCTCTTATTTAAAATTGAATTTTTTTTCTTCTGAATTTATAAACCTGTTTATTCGAAATACAGTTGATAACTAAAACCGATATCGGAGACTATGTATGAAAGAATGATTTTCAGAATTGTTTATTTTACGTTATCCATGAAATAATGCATTTAATTGCTCACATGTAGTAAACTAAGAGGATTGGTGCACAGGGTTACATCTGTATATTCAGATATGAAGACTTTCAAGCACTTTCTTCCATTGGTAATTTTAATGAACTGAAGTGAAAGAGAAAATATTTTAATTTGTGATTTGCATAATTCTAATACAGTATTTTCACTGTTCTGCGATATACCTATTTAATCATTTGACAGTACAATTTAATATGTGTCATTGATAAACAGTTTCCATACTAGCCTCAAGGTAAAGCAGTAGAACATTCTAGATACCTGCTGGAAGTTTGTCCTTTAGAATGGCAGCAGTTTTTTTTAGATGTTTCTTATTTTATAAGATGTTAGCATATCTGGTATAACTCCACAATTATAAACAAATGCAGTAAGTCCAAGTGTGAACCATTTGTCTACTTGCATTTTTCTGACATATTCTTGTAAACGTTTTAAAAAGCTGGCTTCACAAAAATAAATATACAGTATGAACGTACAATTCCAGTATTATTTTGCTACGGGTATAATACAGATAATCTAAACTGTCCAAATGTTAAAATTAAGTTTTGGATGGACAACTGCTGGAATATTTCTCACATACATAATTATAATTATGTTAAGAATTAATTATAAATCACTCAATAAAAGGAGAGAGTCCACAATATTTAAAACTTTAAACATAGGTAAATCTTTTGTGAAACACTTGTTAAACCACTAATTACAAGCATCACAAAAAACAATGATGTGTTATGCTCTGTTTTGCGTATATGAAAAACTTGAGGTTTTGTTGAGAGAATCAATGCTTTATTCAGTTTATGGAAACTAAATTTGAAATTTAAGCTTTAAAACTGCAGTGCTAATGAAAATATTTGTCCCACCTGACTATGAGCACAGAAAATAAAGTGGAAACAGTTTTCGGATCCTTAATATTGAAGTGAAATGTGGTCCAAACAGAAGACATACAGTATTTGTTTGATAGAACATGTTTGAATAAAACCCTATTTGGGAAACAAGATTATCAGAAGTTTTTTGATGTATCACAATCTATATCTATTTGTTATCTTTTAAAGTAAAAAAAGTGTTACAATAATGTTAAATAGAATAACACATATTCCACTTTGACAGATATTTTCTAAAAAAAAAGCTTTAAGGTTGATTATCAATTGCTTCATGATTCTAATATTTTGCCAGTAACACATCTGCAACTGGAAATCAAAAGAATGATTATTTTTTTCTAAGTTGGTAATTACTGTGCATAATAAATATATTTTATAATACATTAAATATAGTTACAATACACAAATAACATCTGTGTTTCTGTTTTAGATGGAATACATTTAAATAAAACACTAAGGGCTTGATTTTGAGGTAAGCCCTTACCTTCAGGAAACCAAAGTTAAAAGTTAAAAGGAAATCAGGAATACAGATGTAAAAAGGAAGGGTTGAGTCACTCCGGCTAAGGATCTGCGCCTGTGGCTGTGGCTGTGGCTGGAAGGTTGCCAGTTCACATCCCACAGCCAGCAGAGGAATCCTACTCCACTGGGCCCCTGAGCTGACCCTGCGCTCTGACCCCAAACTTCTCTCTCCCTGTCTGTGTGCCTGTGTGTCTTGTGGAGAGCAAGCTGGGGTATGCAAAAAGACAAATGCCTAATGCAAGAAATTGTATATGGCTAATAAAGTGATCTTATCATTCATATTCATTATAGAATATCCTTAGGTTATATTTACTCATAACTTTACTCAATGGAAAATCAGAGCCAAACAACATATTTAACATATAACAATGTTATTTACTTTTCATTGCCCCTATAAAATATCACTACATTAATTTGCTGATTATTTTCATCTTGGAAAATATGTGGTAAAACTGTGAATTAGAAATAAAATATCTGTCTCCAAGACATGTTATTTAAAAGGTACAAGAACCCTTCGTTGTAGTACTTTTTATTTTGTTTAAAGACTGTATTTATTTTTTTGGTAAAACAACATGAATGGTTTGTGTCTTGTTTCTGTATTTACTGTATATACAGTTATATTTTTTTAATCAAATAGAACCAGAAATGAATCTGTAAATAGAACCAGTTTTAAAATATCAATGCTAATTGTTCTGGTTTATTATTATTGTTGTGGAAAAAATTTTAGGTTAGGATAACCAAGGAAAAGTCTTATTGGAGCCTCATTTTAGTTCACCTGCAATGCTTATGAATAACGTACTTCATATAACATAAAGAAAGTAAGTGGAAGTATGTTGTATATTAATATATTTGCTTATATATTTGACAGGTTATGCAAATAAATTGGAAGAAAATTGAAGGTTGAAGTTAAATAAAAATTTGCAATTTTTTTCAAAACCTATTTTCTATGATCATGTTATTTAAAAATAAACTATAAATAGTTGCTTTTTATTAATCTACGGAAATATTTACAACATCAACAACAAAAAGAACTGCTTCATTAAAACACCGTTATTTTAAACTTTGTTAGTTTGTACAAAATGAGCGTTATTTTTTGCAAAAAAAAATTAGTTTAGATTGCAATTTAGAAAATGGATGTACAGGTAGGTCAGTTTATAAAAGTTTATTAAAAGCATTTTGTTGTGCATCAACTAAAGTGTCCCTTGGGTGACAGAGTGCCTGTGAATTCAGGAAAAGCAAAACACAGATCCTGGAGAGAAGCTAGTATTTGCATTGTTTCCACAATATTCATGAAAAAACTGACTCAGTAGTCTGCCACAAAGTCAGGTGGTTAATCATCCTGAAAATTAAAAAAAGGTTTATTTTTTATCATAGAACTTTGCTATAATGTACATAAATTGAATATTGAAATAGGAACAAGTAATAGGTTTACTCCATGCTAAAAAGAGAAGAAAGAAAACACAATGTTTCAGCCATGAAGCCTTCTTCAGGTGTGAGAAAGACAGGGCAGTAAGCAAAGGTAATGTAGCAGGAGAACAAAAGCAGGGATTGAGGAGGAGCGAGAGGCGGGAGCAAGGGACAGACAGAGTGGCCAGTCAGGTGGTGTGAAGTCAGGATGGGTGAAAAGAGGTGTAAAATGAAACCTACAATGAATGCAGAGAATTTAGAAGAAAAGTAGTCTGTAGTTGAGAGAAGGGGGAAGGCGTGATCTTAGCTACAGGATAATTTTAGTTTCTGTAGCCTTTCTGATGTATGAGTTAGGAAAACCATCTTTAAGAACACAGACAGAGAGATTAGTGTGATCATGCCTGTCAGAGCTGAAATGATAAACAAGGGGCTTGGAGAAATCTTTAATCTTCACAGCCCTAATGTTCTCTGAAGCGATCTCCAAGTCCCCTTCCTGTTTTTCCAACATAGATGGCTGAGCATTTACTACAAGAGATACAGTAAATAAGGTTGCTGGAGGTAAAAGGTCATCTGAGTGATCCAGAATTGTCCTGAGGGGCCTTGAATGAGTGTGGTGTTAGATATGTACTTGCAGGTGATACAACGAGCTCTGTTGCAAGGGAATGTGTCTGGTGTGGATGGTTGCCGAGGGCGGTCAAGAGAGCTGTGAACAAGAAGGTTACACCGATTAGGTGGTTGGCGATATGAGATGATGGGGTGGTCAGAAAAGAGGGCCCCAATGGAGGGATCATCCTGTAGGATGGAATAGTTTTCGTTAATAGTCCTGGGGATAGGAAGTGTGTTGGGGTGGTAGGGAAGCACCAAAGGAATGCTGTTGTTACGGCAAGAGTTCCTGATTGAGTTGATGGTCCAAGGGCTGTTTTTCGCTCGGGCAAGGGCCCTGTCAATAATACTGCTAGGGTATCCTCTGTTGATGGAAAAAAAATACATTTTGAGAGCTTGGTTCTGGAAATCGATGTCGTCACTACATAGCCAAAGGAACTGTGAAAAAGGGAGAGCAAGGTGAAATGAGCTGTACAGAAGATAGCTGTGTGAATCAGTGGGTTTGTAATAGACCAAAGTAAAGAGTCGGGGGTAGTTAATGGAGAAGCTGACGTCTACAAACGGAGTAGTGGAAGATACGTTAACTGTATATTTGAGGGATGGGTGGAAGTTGGTGAAGTGATGCAGAAAGTGCTTAAGCTGGTCATTAGAGCATGTGGTGGCACAGATGCAGTTATCAATGTATCACTTGTAGAGGTCAGGGACATAGCCAGTGTAGGGAGCAAAGAAGTGTTCTTCTACCCAGCCGACAAAAATATTGGCATAGTTGGGTCCCATTCTGGTGCCCATGGCAACTCTACTAACCTGTTGGTAAAAAAGGTTATTGAATGAGAATGCAATTAGTGTGAGAACCAATTCTGCAAGGTGTACCAGGGTGTGGGTGGGTGGAGCAAGCACTGTGTGTTTGTCCAGTGTGGCTTGAGGGCTGTAAGGCCGTCATTATGGGGAATGACGGTGTAAAGAGATATGATATCCATGGTAGAAATGTAGCATTTGGGGCCCTGAAATTGGAAATCATTAAAAAGTTGGAGCGCATGGTTAGTGTTCTTGATGTATGAGGGAAGACTTCATGAGGCTGTCAAGAAAGGCCAAGATGTTAGTAGTCGGACAGTTTCATGCTGATACGACAGGGCGTCCAGGGGTGTCCGGTTTGTGGATTTTGGGGAGGAGGTAAAATTGATATACCTGGGGATGTTCAATGATGAGCCGGTTCGCCTCACCTGGAGGAGCTCCTTGCTGAGAAGGGATAAGAAGGGAGATGGTAGTCAGTGGTAGGGTCCCGTTGGAGAAGGAGGTAGGCAGAAGTGTCTATTAGTTGTCTAGAGGCTTCAAAGATGTATACTGTAGGTCCTTAAGCCACACCACAAAAGAGCCTCCTTTGTCTGCTAGTTTGATGATAAATTTAAATATATGTATTCATTATAAACATAAGGCCTTTTTTATATGTATTTTACCAAAACAATTTCAGGTTTGCCATTCTTTGTAATTTTATTAAACACCTTAGTGATCCGTTCGGCTCTATCCAGTCCCATGTTTCTTTACAGAATTGTAATTATGCGTACCAAAAGATGACTCAGGGGCTGGAGATTGTATAGTATTCTGCAGTTAAGCTTCTTTCGAAACATCAATGAAAAATTGTGTGTACACAATAAACAAAGTTACTGAACTGGAAATCAACAGCATTCTGAGTTTCAGTCAGGCGAGTCATGCCAAGATTGTTAAAGTTTCTGTGCTTGTTGTCGGGTAGCTTTGTGCTATTAATAAACTGGCAGCATATTAAAAACTACAAAGAAACATTGTAATGCTTGTTAAACAGAACATACAGTACACTTTACCTATTCTGAGAACTATAGTTAAAGAATCCTTCCTCTCCAGCAGTGATATTAACATATTTCTAGAAAGTCTTGTATATAATTCGACTACACAATTCTAATTGTTAGTTCTAAAGGATATCAATTAATCCAAACAAGTTGCAAGTTAACAAATTTAAGATACAAGGAGCGGACATTTATGAACGAGTACACACTAGATGTTTTTAGATTACAATTTCACTAACAATCATTATTACACATACAGTAGTGGAGAACTTTGTTGGAGATGTGGAGTTACATTCATTTAGGGGCTGTGGTGAGAAGGCTATTTTGGTTGAACCGTCTTCAAGAAAAGATGTATTTTGTATATACAGGTACATCACATACTGTATATAGCTGTAAATGAATAAGCAAAGTACTGAATGACACTTAAAAACATTTTATGTCTTATTTTTGTTTTGCCTCAGTTAATTTTATATTAATAATATTACATGTAAGGTCTTAATATAAAACGATTTTTGTGAGAATCTACTATAAAATGTTTGAAAATGATTTATAGGTTCCACGTATCACAATGGTTATATAGAGAAAATCCCCAAGAAAAGATACATTCTAACTTTTATTATTTAAAAGTTAGTTAAAATATTTCTGTCAATTCTGAGATAAATTGCCAAATTTGCCAAAACTTTGATTTCTTTAATCTGTAACTATAGTAATTACATATAGTAGTAGTCTAAAAAGAAAATAAATGACTCTAAGAAAACTGTAAGTTTATATATCTAAAACTAGCATAGCTTTAAAAATTAACTTTACTTAGCTTAATGGCTACTGATATTTTGGTATTATATTTTAAAAGCAATATATGTGGTTACATTTTTATAACAAAAATAATTCATTCCCATTATGACACTCCATTACACATACTGTACATTAGAAGGAACATTGCAGTCCCTTCACTGACACTCAGGTGGGTGTTTTCTGTCACCATTGCACCATTTGCCACACCAGACAATAATTAAAGGACTTAAAACTGCATCATCATCAATAATATTCAATATTGGCTGTCCATACATTAAGAAATGTTCCGCTCGAAGACTGAATGGTGAGTGAATGAAGGTCATCCTCTTGATGAGATGTAAAACCAAGGTCTTGACTACACTATTATTAAAGATCCAATGGCACTGATTGTAAGAATAGTATTATGTCCTGGCTAAAATCCACGTTTACACAATCTGGTCTATCCATAGTTCCCTACAAATTGAAGTGAAGAAGCAATTTCTTATTTCGACACCTGATTTACACTCCTGAAGCATATTGATTGCCACACATTAGCTAGAAGTGTGCTACGGTTTATTTGTGGGTAATGTTATTCCCTGTTATATGTGAACTGCTTTGGGATTGCTTTGGGTGAAAATAGTTCTAAAAAAGCAAGGAATCATTATTACTGTAATTCAGTTGTTACAGAAGATGTGTAGTATGAACCAATGTTCTGGGTTACACATACTGTAAGTACTTCATCAACAGACCCCAGATACAAAATTGTTATTAATGTAAATATAAAGCACAAGACAACATGGGATTTACTTTTTTAAGGTGATGCAATGGGGTCAATGTGGTGTCAGCAACACACAATTTTCAGGTGATATTGAAAACTTCAGACTTTAATATCACCAGTATTTATTTTTAGATATGACATACAGTAAATACCTTTCATATTTTAAATTGAACTTCCAGTTGCTTTGGAATAAATGAAATACACTTTTCTCATTTCAAGTGTTAAAATACTCTTTTCCTCAGTATCTGTAAGTGTATGGTTAAATACTGTAGATGTGTACAGTAGATTACAGTATATAGGTTTTTACGGTTGTATGATGCTACTATTTTCAGAATTAGCAATTAAAATTTACATAAGAGACATTATGTTTTTATGTTTCGGGCTTTGCTTCCTTGTTTCCGATATAAGGTGTGTTGTGTATACTGCTCTTATGTAGCAACAGAGCTGCTGGATAGTTGCTTAGAAACATCGTTCCGCCTACTTCATCTACCTGCATCAGTCTTACCTGGACTCAGTGCACACCTGCGTGCAGTGAAATTGCTGACGTTGTAAATAGGAGAGGACAAAGGTGTGCTCTTCCCTATCGCATAACTCCAGTAGGAATCCAGCAGGTCCAGAAAACAGCACCAACATTCTGTAAACGTGCTTTTCAACAAACCTCCCTATTACGGTGTTTCAGTTCTACAGAAAAAAAAGGCTTACGACTTCTTTATGAAATGACATTTAAAATTAGCGCAAGCCGGGAAAAAATCTTCTAATAATACGTCTATGATTTTTTATCATGCTCAAACAGGTGCGTGTCGACATCAAGTGAACTTGGCACTACAATAGAGGATTTCAGTCACTGATACGTCTCCAGGGATCAACTAAACGTTTAAACGGGAGCAACACATGGATTAATAGCTACAAAAAAGTTTGCTTCATGGGATTTTTCTTTATTTTATTTTCTCATTGGGTTTTGTTCAATTGACAACAAGTTTGAATAACCTGATTTTATTAGGTAAGAAAATCTGCACGAATATAAAGGCTATGAATTCCAAAGATATGAATCATTACAATGAGTTTCTCGCGTATTCTTATTTAAATTAAGATTAGTCTGAAAAATTACTAAATCATAACTATAGAATTTACTTGTTTAATTCGAGTTATCTACTGCATTGATTGAAATTCAAGATTTTAAGATATCAGATATGTTTGTCGCGAACGACGGATGAAAGGTACAATATTTGTCTATTTCGAGTTAGAGTATAAACACCTTTTCTTGGAATCCCATTCAATAGCTTTTTGTATTATTGTCTTAATATTTTTTATCGTACCACGTTCTGCCATCTAATACTAATGTTTGTCCTTAAATGTTAAAAGTGTAACAGTGATTATTATTATTATTATTATTATTATTATTATTATTATTATTATTATTATTATTATTAGGTGGTACCGAAGAATGGCAGAAAGAAGTACCTGGTGGAAATCCTTCACTCTCAGAAAGAAAAACAAGGACCCTGCAGCCACCCAGTACGAAGGGAATCCGGAACTTCAAACAACACAGGACAAAACGTCAATGGGCTTTACGTCGTCTTCGGACTCGCGGGAGAATCAGAACCAAAATTTAATAAAAGAGCAAGATTATGAAGACTCGAACATCGAGCCTGTTTTTAATGAGAAGACTTGCCGAAGGAATTTGAAAATCTCCCGTTCAGGACGTTTCAAGGAAAAGAGCAGAGTGCGTGCAACACTACCAGCAAACAACAATTTCTTCGAAGGCAGCAACGCTAGCGTCAAAGACTAGTCATCAACCCAGTTCCTCTCAACCCAGACATGTGTCAACCAAGATGAAGGAATAATGTTTTTTTAGACGTTTTATAAACCATCCATTCTGGAATTGAAATTACATTTAATACTCAGTGCATAGCTGCTCAATATTTAATGATTTAAATCATTGTTGTGGTATTTGTTATCTAAGAATATGATTGAAAGCTCATTTGAAAGTTTGTCTCCAGGGGTTTAAGTGGTTTTGTACTCTGCGGTGTAGTTCACTGCGTGCTAAGTTGAATTGTTGTTGTTGTGATTCAGAACTCATAAAGAAAGGGAATGGTAGCATGGATGTTGGCTTTTTTTAGTTATTAATTTGGTATCAGACTACTGTTTGAGGGGAAACCATCAATGGCTAATTGACTTTAATGTCTTTGGATTCTGTAAATTTGTAGCCTTGAATATGGGTTAATATTAATATCTAAGTGTTCAACACTGACCTTTTATGTAAAATAACAAACATCCTATTTGAGCATCAGTTATTTTTTTCTGAATGATTTAACATAATTTATTAAGCTTATCCTTTCATTTAATCAAAAAACCTAAGTAGAATTGCACTATTGTAAAGGATTTGCTGTAATAAAACAGGTGCTCAATTGTCTTACTCCCAAGCTCTCTTACTGACAAGGCTGACTATTTTGAAAGGGACAGTATCCAAAGAGTTTTAACCTGTTTTTAACCGTTACCCTGTTTTGCATTTAGTATTTATTGAGTTTTAAACATAATTTTAAAAAGATTTTCAGTGTTTTAGTAAAAATATTTAGAAGTGTATACTTTTATGGTTGGGTTTTACACTGTTGTTTTATAAATTTTGGTGGTTGGATAAAGATCAACATGACAGTGGCAACATGACTTTCTTCAAAGGTAAATGTACAATATAAGTTATGATGTTTAATTTTAATATGTGCCTATACCACATTGAGCAATGTGTATGTGCATCTATCTAGTTGACAGTTTGGAGAATTACTATGCGATTTTCACACAGGTGAATGAGAATTACAGATGGATTGAGACAGCAAATGATGATAATGATTTGAAGTATAGAAATGATTGTTGTGAAGAAGGGATACCCTGGAAAAGCAAGACATTTTTAAGTGCAATTTAAGGTGGCTTTCTCTTGTGCAATACAAAAAACCCCACTCTGAGTAAATTGATAACCCAGATTAATTAAAGAATAATACCAAAAGTAACGACAAAAAAAAAAAGAAAATACAAAAAATACAGCTCTCGAGAACAAGGACACTCAACAATAGCAAAATATATAATTGTTTAGGATATTAAGGCCTCTTTGAAACAGTATAATTTAAGATCACTAGTTTCAACACCTAATGGTAGTTTTCAGAAGAGATCCTGTCACATGTGTTATTGGTCTGGGGTTATGGTATGAAAGGCCCCTAATATTATTAGAACTCTTTACAATATAGGAAGAAGGGGGTTAAAAACAATTTTGCTAAAGAAAATCCTGTGGATATTATTTTGATTTCTGGTAAACTTTAAGAGAATTAGGAACAAAGTTTTATAATTGTCAATAATAAAATACATACTTGTGCATATATACTGTGTGTGGTATTTTGCTCTTCCTTCTGCAGAGACAAACCATCTTTTATCTCAAAGAATATTCAAAGACGTGAATGTGAGAGGGAAGCCATGATAGAATTCTATGATAGGATTGAATCAATTGTTCTTGTGCTTTACTGTGCTTTAAGATATTTATTTTAGCAACATATATTTTCTCATTATTAATGTTACATGAGTGTCTGGAGTTTATAAATTGTAGGCATTTTCAGGTAAATATAAGAAAAATACAGAGTAATGTTTCATTTACTGGTATACGCATATATTTTTAAACATATACAAACATTGTTCTTTCACTTCCACTATTGTTGTTCTTTCACTATGACTACAGAATTTTTAGCTTCATTATATTATTTACTAAAAATAACAACCCCCAAGAACTAAGTATAATGAAAAGGTTATAGAGTGTTTTAGTCAAAATTTGTCTTAACCCCCTTGGCTGGCCTCCTGCCCATACTGTAGGATGAGGAGGCTAGGACTGCAATGTGAAGAGTGACAAAAGGGTAACTGCAAAGTTGGAGATGGGGTGGTGGTGGAATGCAGAAAAACATATGTGAGGGAGATGGAGATAACGTATTGTATTTGTAACTTTTTAGGTGAAGAGGTGACATCGGGAATGATTGCAAATTACTGATAGCTAAGTCCAATTGAACTTGGCTGTTGTCATTCCTCCCAACCTTAGTTATTATTCCTTTGGCTAAATTCATGGTCCTTAAATACTTTTGAAAATAAGAATTTTACAAGTCCCAGCTGAATTTGTGCTAGCATCATGTATATAAATTAAATATTAGATGCCTCAATATTGTGGAGCAGAGTTTGAGTCCCTGGAGGTTAAATACACCTGTTTGTGTCTTTCAACTGTTTATCCTAATATTCTAATATTCTTTCACAATTGTTCTCCTGTAGTAACACAAATGAAGGTTACAAAACAAAAAAAGGCAATTGAACTCCAATGTATTTTTCAAAAGATGTTTTTAATGATTGACTTTAGTTCCACTTATTCTGTTCTTTCACTCATTATATTTGTTACTGATTTTAAATGTGCTACAGTATGTCTATACAGTCAATCCAGATACAATGCACCCTTTGTGTCCAATATTCCACACAATGTTTTTATGTAAGGTAAATATTTTTTGGGGGTGTTTGTCTTTAATAATGTCTTATAAATATGTCTAAGATAAATATATAAAAAGAAGAAATATAAATGTCTAAGGCAAATAAGGTGTAATTTTCTTGTAAAAAATAAATATTGTGAACCATGTGGTACAGTACCTCTTTCACTATTGCCCCTCAAATTGATATTACTGCTCATACTGTCTCTGTTTTGTTTGATTCTGTATTATCCACTAATGTTTTTTTTACTGTTTACTGTTTCACTAAGAATTATAAATCAAGAACTACAGTATAAGTGCCTTAAAAGCTCTTAAGTAAATACATTCAAACATTATTTAGAAAATCTAATAGTTTAAAACCCTAATGAGACCCCAAAGTAATTCATCACATTGGCATTACTTCCGTTCTTATTTCATTTTTACCAGAATGTTTGCTTTTGTAATGTTGAAAAAAGTATACGCTTTTACCTTTATGATCCTTGCAATATCTTTCAAATGTCATGCACTGGATTATCAAATGTTATACACTGGGTTGAGGTGTATCGTAAATAATCCTTCAATTATAGCTGATCATGGTTTCATTTATTTTTTCTACAAAATTAAATTACAGTAAATTAGTAACTGGAATGTTTCACTTGAAATTTCTGGAACCCTTTTGTTCTATTGCTTCCACATAGCTGCTGCTTACAGTATTCCATCCTTAAATGTGAGTGAGATCACCTGTCCTTTGGAGAGTTCAGTCCTTCTGTAAACAATTTAAGTATTCATGGAAAAGACTTCCCATGAGGCATTTCAAATTGAGTATATGTGCTGTTGTTCATCTCAGTACAAATTAAGGTGGTATACTGTGATCATGTTTTTTTTACTATCGTTACAAAGTAATAATATTTTTAAGTTATGCTTTTTTTTGCAAGTTATCATAGCACACTCTGTCACAGTTTGCAAAAAGGAAAGATACACAATTATATAAATGAGAAAACAGTAAATATAAAACTGTATGACTGCCCATGTGCCTGGTTTTAGAGTACAGGTCTTGTTATTTTATTAAAGTCAACTGCTGCACACGAAGGGATTAGTGAACCATTATATAAAGAGCTTTCCTCTTGAGAAGAGATACTTATGTATTGGCAATATACAGTCTGCAATATAAATTATACAGTCTTCTGCGTTGATAATTTAGTAACACTGTAGTGTTTTCTAGCCTACTACACTCAAGAAAACATTATTTCAGAAAGGAAATAATGGGGTTTTAAGGGTAAGAACTTATTTAAAAACTGAACTCATTTATTTTACTGTTTTGTTCAAAATGTTGGACTTTGCACTTAATTGCTCACCACAGGTTTTACATTTAATTTCATATACAGTTGTAGGCTATCTATCCATTTTCTAACTATTTCATCCAAGTCAGTTACAGTCTCAGGACAGGACACCAGTTTATCGCAGGGCAAGCACAGACACAAACACTCATACATGAGCACCAGGGCCAATTTTCCCAAAAGGCAATTAACCAACCAGTATGTCTTTGGACTGTGAGAAGAATAGCACATAAACATGGGGAGAACATATTACACTTGCAAATGGGTCTTTCCAAATGACCAATGAAGAGCAAAAATTGACGATGTTGTTTTCAATATAAATCTTTATTGTTATGAAGTCACATAATAATCAATGTTTCAAAACATAAAAATTTTTCAACACCTTATGCAGTCATAGGGCTTTTAGAGTGCATACTGACAAGATGTTTGATATCAGAATTGGGAAATGGAAGTAGGAACCTGCTGTTGAACCAAAGGTCTTTAATGTGTGTATATTACAGACCATTTCATCACCATAGCATTCATACCTTAATAATGATTAATCAGAAAAACAGCACCGTAAAAAATGAAAAATAAAATGTAGCAATTGGTTTCTGAAGTGAAGAGTCTACAAAGAAATCAGAGCACCTTGAACCATGAATATGTAAAAAACTTACTGCTACTTCATTATTAGGAACCCCATCAATGCATACACCATCCTTGTGAGACAATGTGGACTGTAACAAATCCGTGAGAAAAGGTAGGATCCTATGTGGAGGTTTTCGGAAGGTCATCAAGCCAAATCATCAGGAAAAGAACCAGGTTCGGTAAACAAGCATCCAAATGTTGGGAAAGAATATTGCTAAACGCGAGTAGCAGAGTGAGCTCTTAGAGACGAGTCTCAATCACTGAGCAGAGAGGTGAGTGTGAGAGGGACTTAAATAGGAAAGGTACATTACCAGGGAAAAGTGTGGTTGGATAATTAGGACAGGGGTGGGCGTTTGTGATAATCAGTGCGTGTGTGAATACTGTGTCTTTTACGAGAGTGCGTGGAATATAATTGTCTGTGTGACAGATTATAATTTTTTTTCATCTAGAGGACTCCTGCTCTGTCCTGTTCCTAGTTTCCCTGTGCTTTACTTGTTCTTCTAGAGTGTCTTGTCTGTGGCTTTATATTTCCGGGTCTCTCTATCCTCCTCGCTCGGCATTGGAATTGGTTATTGAGAGGCTCACCTCACGTCTGCTACCTGAGGGCTTATGTCTTGTTCCAACCCTGCCCGATACTTTCAGCCCGACCGAACCCCGTGTTTGCTCCGTTCCCGCCGCTACGCATCTTCACGTCTTCATGTCTCGCCGGTCTCTCTCCATGGCTTCTGCACCACTAATATTAAGGAATATTAAGTAATTTTTGTTTGTAACCCAAATTCACTCATAAATTTAAAAAAGATTATAAATTGTATAGATTTTAAAATAGATTTTAAGAATTCCTATATGGAATAAATACAAAGGGAGGTAATAATAATAATTAATAATTGCTTACACTTATATTGCACGTTTCTGGACACTCCACTCAAAGCGCTTTACAGGTAATGGGGACTCCCCTCCACCACCACCAATGTGCAGCCCCACCTGGATGATGCGACAGCAGCCATAATGCGCCAGAACACTCACCACACATCAGCTATCAGTGGGGAGAAGAGCAGAGTAATGTAGCCAATTCATAGAGGGGGATTATTAGGAGGCCATGATTGGTAAGGGCCAATGGGAAATTTGGCCAGGACGCCAGGGTTACACCCCTACTCTTTTCAAGAAACGCCCTGAGATTTTTAATGACCGCAGAGTGTCAGGACCTCAGTTTTACACCTCATCTGAAGGACGGCGCCTGTTTACAGTATAGTGTCCCCGTCACTATACTGGGGCATTAGGACCCACATGGACCGCAGGGTGAGTTCCCCCTGCTGGCCCCACTAACACCTCTTCCAGCACCTCCCAGGAGGTCTCCCATCCAGGTACTGACCAGGCTCACACCTGCTTATCTTCTGTGGGCCGCCAGTTGTGAGTTGCAGGGTGATATGGCTGCTGGCGATAATGGGTATCATTTTCTTTTAGCCTAATATCTCCACATGTATATGACAGCTAATTCATTGCATCCTACACCTCACTGTGCTGAACATCACAGCGATATCTTAAAACCTACCTTAGAGTTGCTATGAAATAAACACTGTTTATGAAATAAATATAAATACTTTCCCTTTCTATCTAAGATTCAAGAAAGTTTATAGCAGTTAATCATTTGCAAAACAGCAGTTAATATTTATCAAAATTGTTATTGAGGGTATAACAAAAAAAGAAATAGCTTTGATAAGATGAGGCAACTTATGTAAACAGAACTATAAAATCTTAAGAACTAATGCAGTTGCAGGTGCAAAGACAAAACAGAGGTGACAAAGGTTAGAGTGGGGAGCTGCTTCAGTGTACAAGCTGCAGAGGATCAAATAGAGGTTATCCCTTTGTTGCAAAGTTAAAGTTTTTTCCATCTGTAGTATCTTCTTTAGGCTTTTTTTTATCTGTCT